GCAGTGGCGCGATCTAGGCTCACTGCAAGCTCCGCCTCCTGGGCTCACGCCATTCTCCTGCCTCAGCCTCCAGAGTAGCTGGGATTACAGGCGCCCACCACCACGCCCGGATAACTTTTTGTATTTTTAGTGCAGACGAGGTTTCACTGTGTTAGCCAGGATGGTCTCTGCCTCCCAGGTTCAAGCAGCCTCCTGCCTCAGCCTCCCAAGTAGCTGGGACTACAGGTACATGCCTCCATGCCCAGTTAATTTTTATATTTTTAGTGGAGAGGGGGTTTCACCATGTTGGCCAGGCTGGTCTCAAACTCCTGACCTCAAGTGATCTGCCGGCCTGAGCCTCCCAAAGTGCTGGGATTACAGGTATAATCCGGCTACCATGCTGGACCATAATTCAGGTAAACCTTACAGAAATGAAAGAGGCCTTGTAATACATACTGAAAGGCATTACTATGTATATAGTAAAATCAAATGAGGGCAGCTACATCAAAATTGTTCTAATGAAAGTACTGAACTTTAAAGCAAAAATAACACCATGGCTATTTAGGAAAAAGACCAAGTTTCTTACAAAGGAAAGAAAACAAGATTTTCATCAGAGTTATTAACAATGGTTTATGCCAAAAGACAATGGAATGTAACATATTTAAGAAATTTAATGAAAGAGAAAATATGAGAGAAGGATTTTATATCTAGCCAAACTGAACTTCAGATCTAAAGGCTATATACAAACTGTTGTGAACAGGTAAGAACTAAGTAATATTGTTCCCATGAGCCCTTTCTAAGGAGTCCACTAGGGAATGAGCTTCAGATGAGCAAATTAATGAGGTAACATTAGCATGAGAAATGGTAGTGAATTAAATATATATATAACTATAGAACTTAAACTAAATGATGGTTGTAAGGGAGATACTATGGTATATAATAGCTGCATGCCCTGAAAATGTAGTTACAGTATTACTATAAAAACTATGGGACAAGAATGCGGAAAACGTGAATAGTTGTATAAGCCTACTTATTGTCTTAAAAAAAAAAAAAAAGCAAATATCAAAATACCATCATCATCATTAAAGAAAAAAATCAAACATGACAAAAGTCAAAGTCACCTATAATCCCACCTCAAAGAAAGAACCACAAGAAACACTTTGGCATACACTATTTTTCTCCATACAAGTCAACATTCACCTCTGCCAGTCAGTCTGTTTCTATTTTTTGAAAAATGGAAACACTACATACTGTTTCTTAATTTGTTCTTCACTTAGTACATCATAGGTATCTTTCTACAATAGCATATATAACTCTTCCTCATGTTTTATAGTATTTTATGATATTTTACATTGTAAATGGGCAATAATTTATCCAGTTACCTACAGATAGTATTTCAGTTGTTTCTGATTTTTTATTGATGTCATAACAATGTTCAAATGAACAGAGTAAAAGCTTTTGATTACAGCGATGGAAAGGAAAAGTTTAACTCTCACTATCTAAAAGTATATTAAAAACTACAATAAAGAAAAGAAATTCATTATCAAGTTATCATTTAACCATTTCTAATACACAACCTTACATTTTTTTCCCAGTAAAAATTGCTCTGTGACACTTACATATCCAGATATGCAAAAGGACATATGAACAAATGAAGAAAAGGATTCAGAGCCAAAAGTCAGCATGGCAGAGTCATGGTCAATGAAGAGTAGAATAGTTTATCAATTCATCCATTCATTAAAATGTTACTGAGTGTTTAGTACGTGTCAGGCCCTGGCTAAGCATAAATAAACGAGTCAGAGTACAAAAAATAAAAACCAGTTTGAAATAGAGTACTCACCAATCAAAATTTAAAAGGGAATGTGAATGGATCATAGAAGTAAATGTAAGGCCTAAAACCATAAACCTCTTAGAAAATACAGGAGTAAATCTTCTTGACCTTGGGTTAAGCAAAGCCTTCTTAGATATGATACCAAAAGCACAAGCAACAAAAGAAAAAAAGATAATCTGGATTACATCAAAATAAAAAATGTTTATGTTGTAAACAATAAAAAGCCACAGAATGGGAAAAATATTTTCAATATTTTGAAATGCATGTATATTTTGAATGCATAATAATACATTCAACTTAATAATAAAAAGACAACCCACTTTAAAAATGGGCAAAGAAATGTCTCCAAAAAGGATACAGAAATGGCCCACAAGCACAAAAAAACATACTCAACATCAACAGCCCTTAGACAAATGTAAATCAAAATGAGATGCCACTTCATACCCACTAAGTCAGCTATAATAAAAAAGACAACAAGTGTTGGCAATGATGTAGAGGGATGGGAACCTTTATACATTGCATTTCACATATGCCACAAAGAATTTTGCCAGTATGACAGAAAGTGACAAGATATAACTTAGAAATGTCATAACCAATAAATCCATTTCACAAAGTCAAGAGATCTATATTCACTAACAAGCTCAAAGGCTACACTAACTTAAAAGGACTGCTGAAAAGCAGGTGGAAGGCAGGATTACAACAGGTCCAATGTCTTCTGAGCAAAAAAAAAAGGGTGGGTGGGGGGTCTCCAAGTCACCTGGGGTGGGAGTTACAAATGTCCACCTTGAAGCAGAATCAACCCCTGCTCAGTTTCAGAGTGAAAGCCCTCAGAAGGTCCTATTTTCCAACTGTATAAAAGAATCTGGGAAATTAGATTTTTTATGTGTTAGCAACTAATTCAGAAAATATTTAGGCACTAAGCAAGTCACCAGTTTGCAACCTCTAAGGGTAAGTTTAAAATTCCCAATACCTGTGCCTATGTCTCTAATAATGTTTATTTGCTTCAGAGTGATAAATAAGCAACCGATTTTAAGATTCTTTGAAAGATCAGATGAGTTTTCCACGCTGATGTGGCTTATAGTAATACTCACGCCCTCTAGCAGTGGAACAGGAGGACTACATGCTCCTATTAGGGTCTGCCGCAGAAACTCATCCCAGTCAGATACTTTATCTCTGATGCCTAGATGAGGGAATAAATGACTGATTACTCAAAATGCCAGCCAACAGAACACACAGAAATCGAACCAGTGGAGATGGTTTAGAGGTATTTCTCATTTTAAGATCTAAGAGTCAAACATACTGCTTCTTTGAGAGCTTGAAAGATAAAATAAAACCAAAAATACTTCTCTAGATGGAGCTACTTTCTGGTTAGTTTATTAAGAGTTGTATATAAAACAAAGAGAATAGGCCCAACTACCTGCTCCTAAAATTTTATCCAGAAGGTACCTTACTTTATTTTTTATGATGGAAATTTTCAAACATACAAAAAGAAAAATGATCTAATGAATCCTAAGTGCCCTGGCGTCAACAACTGTCACCTCATGGCCAATCTGTTTCATCTAAACCAGGATTTACAAGCTACAACCCATGGGCTTAATTCAGCCTACTGTCTATTTTTGTTAATAAAGCTTTACTAGAACACGGCCATATCCATTTGTTTACATATTGTCTGTGGCTGCTTTCACACTACAAAGGTAGCGTTTTAGCAGCTTTGACAGAGATTGTATGATTAGTAAAGCCTAAAATATTTACTATCTTGCCCTTTACAGATAATTTGCCAATGCCTGGCTTATACCTCACACTCCGCCCATGCCCAACCAAGGATCAGTTAGAAGACAATTCCAGATAGCATACAATTTCATCCATATATGTATTTCAGTACATATTTCTAAAAGAAAATATTTTCTTACAAAGTGTTATATAAAGGTAATCAGTAGAACAAAAATAAGAACCTTTCTATATGCCGAAAGAGAAACTATATGTGTAAACAGGATAGATCACATAGTTAAAAAGAAACTACATACACACAAAGTATGTAACATTTAACAATATAAAATTGAGGCTATGCATATTAATGTTAATGGACTTACTCTTCCATTAGAAGTAAACAAATAAATTCAGATTTCCTCATAAAGCAAAATCAAGGAAACCTAACTGTATATGGAGCTTGCGAGACAATCACAAAAGAGGAACTATTTCAGGAACTATTACTTTAAAATACAGTAAAATGTGAAAGTACGTCCCCAGTTAGGGATATATACTCTAAGGACAACAACAACAACAATTAAAAAAATGCAAAGAAAAAATCTTAAGCTATTTTTAGTAATCCTATTGTTAGTAGTAGACTTGATGTTATTACTTTGAAATAGTTGTTTGTACGTGGTAGGCAAAAGCAAATAAAGAATGAAATGTGGTCAGGTGCGGTGACTCACACCTATAATCCCAGAACTTTGGGAGGCCGAGGCAGGCAGATCATGAGGTCAGGAGATCGAGACCATCCTGGCTAACAAAGAATGAAATGTGTAATTGAGAACTAGGATTTTCAGCATGATAGAAAGGAAATAAAGCTTAGGTGGATGAGTTAAATGAAAGCACTATCTTTCTGAATTTGTATTAGAAGCATCATGATGTAATTTATCCTGAGAAGAAGAAGAAATGCATTAACTCTAGACACTGAAAAGGCCAAGAAACACAAACCCAGCGACAATGAGTACACCCAGGTCTCTATTTATCTTATCTCCACTGCTTTACCTATGTTCTTTTTTTTTTTTTTTTGAGACGGAGTCTCACTCTGTCGCCCAGGCCGGAGTGCAGTGGCGCGATCTAGGCTCACTGCAAGCTCCGCCTCCTGGGCTCACGCCATTCTCCTGCCTCAGCCTCCAGAGTAGCTGGGATTACAGGCGCCCACCACCACGCCCGGATAACTTTTTGTATTTTTAGTGCAGACGAGGTTTCACTGTGTTAGCCAGGATGGTCTCTGCCTCCCAGGTTCAAGCAGCCTCCTGCCTCAGCCTCCCAAGTAGCTGGGACTACAGGTACATGCCTCCATGCCCAGTTAATTTTTATATTTTTAGTGGAGAGGGGGTTTCACCATGTTGGCCAGGCTGGTCTCAAACTCCTGACCTCAAGTGATCTGCCGGCCTGAGCCTCCCAAAGTGCTGGGATTACAGGTATAATCCGGCTACCATGCTGGACCATAATTCAGGTAAACCTTACAGAAATGAAAGAGGCCTTGTAATACATACTGAAAGGCATTACTATGTATATAGTAAAATCAAATGAGGGCAGCTACATCAAAATTGTTCTAATGAAAGTACTGAACTTTAAAGCAAAAATAACACCATGGCTATTTAGGAAAAAGACCAAGTTTCTTACAAAGGAAAGAAAACAAGATTTTCATCAGAGTTATTAACAATGGTTTATGCCAAAAGACAATGGAATGTAACATATTTAAGAAATTTAATGAAAGAGAAAATATGAGAGAAGGATTTTATATCTAGCCAAACTGAACTTCAGATCTAAAGGCTATATACAAACTGTTGTGAACAGGTAAGAACTAAGTAATATTGTTCCCATGAGCCCTTTCTAAGGAGTCCACTAGGGAATGAGCTTCAGATGAGCAAATTAATGAGGTAACATTAGCATGAGAAATGGTAGTGAATTAAATATATATATAACTATAGAACTTAAACTAAATGATGGTTGTAAGGGAGATACTATGGTATATAATAGCTGCATGCCCTGAAAATGTAGTTACAGTATTACTATAAAAACTATGGGACAAGAATGCGGAAAACGTGAATAGTTGTATAAGCCTACTTATTGTCTTAAAAAAAAAAAAGCTTTCTTGCCATGTAATTTAACTATTTAACTTTTAAGTGTTAACTGGGAGTAAAAGGATATTACCTGAAATGAGATGCTGAAGGAGAGGAAACAGCTTATAGCTAACTTCAGTATTGTTTATAGAAACAACAACAAAATAGAAAGTAGTCCAAAAATAGAGAGGACTTAAGGCCAGAAGTTTGAGACTGGCCTGGGCAACACAGCAAAACTCTGTATCTACAAAAAAAAAGTTTAAAAATTAGTTGGGTGTGGTGACACACACCTGTAGACCCAGCTACCTGGCAGGGATGAGGTGGGAGAATCACTTGAGCCCGGGAGTTCAAGGACACAGTGAGCTAGGATCATGCCAATGCACTCCAGCCTGGGTGACAGAGCGAGACTCTGTCTCAAAAAGTAAAATAGAACGAAATTATTGTAAATGTTATTGGAATAGCTGGTAAAAACTGAATAAGGGCCAAAAACTGAATAAGGGCCAGGTATGATGGCTTACGCCTGTGGTGCTAGCTATTAGGAAGGCTGAGGCAGGATAATCACTTGAGCCCAGGAATTGGAGACCTGCTTGGGTGACAAAGCAAGACCCTGCCTCAAGAAAATGGAAATGAAAATAAAAATAAAAATACTAGAAAGTGATATAAATATAAAAATAAGACCATGTTTATTAAACAATGTTTCTTTTAAAAAACTGAGTACTATCTGTAGATTAAACAACAGTATCGTATCAAAGTTAATTTCCTCATTTGCATATTTTACTGTGACATGAATACTTTGTTTTCAGAAATATATACGGCATTTTTGAATAAAAGGGCATCATGTCTAAAACTGACTCTCACATGGTTCATTAAAAGAACATATGTAAAGCAGCGGAGACAAGATAAAGTAAACATAATATATGTCAACATTAACAACATTTGGAGAAACTTGGCAAAAAGTCTCCAATAATTTTCCATATGATTCTTATAACTTTCGGTAAATCTGAAATTATATCAAAGTAAGAAGTTAAAAGAAAAATACCAAAAGTCAGGTGTTTTCATTATTTTGAGACAGCGTCTCACTCTGTCATCCAGACTGGAGTACAGTGGCACGATCTCGGCTCACTGCAACCTCCACCTCCCAGGTTCAAGTAATTCTCCGGCCTCAGCCTTCTGAGTAGCTGGAATTACAGTCGTGCGCCACCACACCCGGCTAATTGTTTCGTATTTTTAGTAGAGACAGGGTTTTGCCATGTTGGCCAGGCTGGTCTCGAACTCCTGACCTCAGGTGATCCACCCGCCTCAGCCTCCCAAAGTGCTGCCATTACAGGCATGAGCCATCCCACCCAACCAACTCAGGGATTTTCTTAAATCCAGAGTCCTCTTATCTTTCCCCACCTTTATCTCACCCTTCTCTTTCTTTTGCCTTTATTGTCTCTCTTCTGCTTAATTTGGTTTCTACTCCTTCTGGAGTGGTGCTTGATTTGGTTCATTTAAGAGTTCCTAATTACCAGATTGCTTGAGGGTATGAGGAGAGAGGACAATAAAAACAAAAGAAAATCAACAGCACATCAGTCTGGCCCAAAGGGCTTAAAAACAACCAGATCTACAAATCTCCAACTCAGAGAACCTCACAGTCTGAAAGGATGATAAGCAGCTAGTGTTCCCTATGAGCATCGTAAAAACCTGAGGCTTTATGGAGCAAAGAAAATAATTTTAAAAGACAGGAAAATGTGTACTATTCCTTATAAATATTTTCACTCAAAATGCTAACCTAGAAAAGCTGGGTAAACCTATAGGCTTGAGAGATGGAAAACCTCAAGATTGTGGACAATCCAAATTTTCTTACAGCAAAATCATGTCACGTCTTGATAGGAAGTATTTCATTACCTTCTGGGGCTTCAAGGGTCTTCTTATTCTGCTCACACCACCCAATGGGGTAGAGATCAGCCTTCCTGATGTCACACCAGAAATCTGCTCTCCGATCCTCCCCATAGCCGTCATAGCGGAGAAGGAGCAACTGTTCACAGGTGGTGATGATGGTGGCAACCCAGTAGGTTTCAGGATCTGTTCTCACAGCCACCTCCAGCTTCATCCCAGGAGCAAATCCATTTTGCAAACGTGTGTCCACCTTAACAGGGAAATGTTATTAAGCATCAGACAAGTATCTTAAATGAGTATTTCTTTGACCAATGTTCTTTTTTAAGACTTAGAATTCTGAAGCACTAAATGCAAGAACATCTCAAGGAAACCCTGAGAAATTCCAATTCTAACTTACAGAAGTAATCCAGACAAAACAAACGAATAGCAATATTGCTCTGCTCCATCTGACAATGAAGGAACTCAATATTTTCACCAAAGCAGTCTATAATGATTACAGAAAATGCTTCCTATTAAGTATATAAATTACTAGTCACTATTTTAATAGCTTTCAACCCATTGTTTTCAAGAATGATTTTTGCATCCATCAATAGGAAATTTATGAAGCTAGAAAAGTGAAAAGACAAAAATAAACCATAATGATAATAAATTAGTAAAATATGTACCATACACAGGGAGCCATAATTCCCAGTTTCCCTACAAGTCTATGTTTCCACCAATTACTCTTAAATAATATTTAATAACATCCCCCTTTCCCGCTCAAAACTGTTCTAATTTAGATGAAACATCATATGGTCACAAAGGTCTGGGTTAGCAAATCTGGAACTATTAATACTTCATGTGTATACCAACATTAAATAAATATACTATGAATAATAAAAGCCAGGTTTCTCACCATGGGAGAAAGAAGTGACAAATAAGCAAAGGGAACCCTGTGGTGTTGGACTGAAATCAGACATATCTGAACAGGGACATGACGACTGACTGGCAGGCAGATAGAGACAGACAGGCAGATAGATAGATGGATGAAAGGATAAAGAAATGAATGACTAACAGAGATAGAGACAACCATACACATGTTTTTCCCAACTCTGTCAATTAAGAGGGACTACAAAAATGACAGCTAGTCACAATAAGCAAATATAGTGTACAAATTTTGATTTATTTCTTTTCTTTTTTATTTTTGAGACAAAGTTTTGCTCTGGTTGCCCAGGCTGGAGTGCAGTGGCACGATCTCAGCTCACTACAAGTTCTGCCTCCTGGGTACAAGTGATTTTCCTGCCTCAGCCTCCCAAGCAGCTAGGATTACAGGCGCCCGCCACCAGGCCCAGCTAATTTTTTGTATTTTTAGTAGAGACGGGGTTTCACCATGTTGGCCAGGCTGGTCTGAACTACTGACCTCAGGTGATCCACCCATCTCAGCCTCCCAAAGTGCTGGGATTACAGGCATGAGCCACCATGCCCGGCCTCTTTTTCATTTTTTTAGACAGGGACTGGCTCTGTCACCCACGCTAAAGTGTAGTGGTGCAATCTCGGCTCACTGCAACCTCAAGTCATCCTCCCACCTCAGCCTCCTGAGTAGCTGAGACCACAGATGTGCGCCAACATGCCTGGCTACTTTTTGTATTTTCTGTAGAGACAGGGTATTGTCATGTTGCCCAGGCTGGTCTCAAACTCCCGACCTCAAGCAATCTGCCCATATTGGCCTCCCAAAGTGCTGAAATGAGTCATGAACCACTGTGCCTGGCCCAAATTTTTGATTTCTAAATACCATCTTCCAATAAAAAAAAAACAAACAAGGACTTCAAGGAAAAAAAACCTTATTCTGATTCTGAGATAGGAAAAATACAATTAGAGCCTGGAATATCTTGTGATGCCAGAAAATAAGGAAATGATCAAAAAATGGGAGTACGTTGAAGGAACATACAAGACAACTAGAAGGATCTCACTGGCTACATGTGGGACAATTTGAGCAATAAAATAAATAGTGAGAGTAATGCATTATAACTAATAGATTTAAATAAGTATCCATGAGTCCACACTGATATAAATAAACAGGGGAGAGGGAACAGATCTTCCTTAGAGTAGAAAACCAGTTAATAAATATTGGGAAAAAAAAAGATAGAAATAGAAAATTACTAGTAGACAAACACCACAGAGATAAACATTGCAGGAGCCGGGCGCAGTGGCTCATGCCTGTAATCCCAGCACTTTGGGAGGCCGAGGCAGGTGGATCACAAGGTCAGGAGATCGAGACCATCCTGGCTAACACAGTGAAACCCTATCTCTACTAAACATACAAAAAAAATTAGCCAGGCGTGGTGGCAGAACGGAACGGAAAGGAACAAGGAAAGGAACAAGGAAAGGAAACGACAGGAAAGGAAAGGAAAGGAAAGGAAAAGAAAGGAAAGGAAAGGAAAGGAAACGAAAGGAAACGAAAGGAAAGGAAAGGAAGATTAAAAAAATAAAAATAAAATAAAAGAGATAAACATTGCAGGCAAGAATTATTGATGGATTCTAAAATACTACGATGAGAAACAGGGTATCCGCAAAATCTCAAAGGTCCTCCCAGTAAGATTCTTGTTAACTTTAAAGGGGAAAACAGCAACATTACAGTGAAAAAATCTGGCAGATGTCATGTAACTAACCAAAGTTTGCATCAATATCATGTATCTCTGATTTCATACAAGATAACTACAATATCATTCCTACAACATTATTGCTAAATCTGCACAAATTCAATCCAATCATGAGAAAAAAACAAATCCAAATTGAGGAATATTCCACAAATAATTGACATGCAATATAGGCTCATCAAAAATGTCAAGTCCATGAAAGACAAAGAAAGGACGACGAACTGTCATATACCAGAGGAGACTATGAAGACATGACAAATAAATGCAATATGGCAACCACAGTCACTGGAAAATGCAAGTGGAATCCTAGAGACAGCCAGAGACGGAAAGTCTCACATTCTGTGTAAAAGTCTTCCCCCGCTAGTCACTACCTGTTCTATCACTATCCTAAACACTATGGTTAATATCGACTATGTTTCCATACTATGTTAATTAAATTATGCAGTATGAATATTTTTTGAGTGGAGCTTCTCTTGTCGAACATTACTTATATGAATACATCACAATCTATTCAGTCCACTTCTACTAGTTACTAGGTATTTGGGCAGTTCACAGTTTTGGGAAGCTACAAATAATGATGCCATAAACATTTCTGCTTGTCTCTTGGTACATACAGACATGAATTTCTAAAATAGAAAACCAAACTGTTTTCCAAAGTAGTTGTACCAATTTAGTTTCCAAATAGCATACGATAAATCCTTTTGCTCCGTTCTTTTTTTTTTTTTTTTTGATACAAAGAGTCTTGCTCTGTCACCCAGGCTGGACTGCAGTGGAGTGAGCTCAGCTCACTGCAAACTCCACCTTTCAGGTTCAAGTGATTCTCATTCCTCAGCCTCCCAAGTAGCTAGGACCACCGGCATGGGCCACCACACCTGGTTGATTTTTGTATTTTTTGTAGCAACAAGGTTTCACCATATTGGCCAGGCTGGTCTCAAACTCTTGGCCTCAAGCAATCCACCTGCCTCAGCCTCCTAAAGTGCTGGGATTACAGGCTTGAGTCACAATGCCTGGCACCTTTTGCTCCATTCTAACCAACATTTTTGTATTTTCAGTCTTTTTCACATTTTTTTTTTTTTTGAGACGGAGTCTCGCTCTGTTGCCCAGGCTGGAGTGCAGTGGCGTGATCTTGGCTCACTGCAAGCTCCGCCTCCCAGGTTCATGCCATTCTCCTGCCTCAGCCTCCCGAGTAGCTGGGACTACAGGAGCCCACCACCACGCCTGGCTAATTTTTTGTATTTTTAGCAGAGACGGGGTTTCACCATGTCAGCCAACATGGTCTCGATCTCCTGACCTTGTGATCCGCCCGCCTCGGTCTCCCAAAGTGCTGGGATTACAGGCGTGAGCTACCACGCCCAGCCCCCTTTTTCACTTTTAACCATTTTGGAAGGTGTGTCATGTATCTTATTGTAATTTTAATTTGCATTATCTGATTATTAAGTTGATAACCTTTATATTTATTAGTCATTTAGATTTCTTCTTCTGGGAAATGCTTAAGTTCCTTATCCATTTTTAAATTCTATATTGTGGACATGAGTTCACTGACAGTTGTTTGTGTTGCAAATATTTTTCTCATTTTCATTATGATGTCTTTTGATAAACAGAAGTTCTTAAATTTATTGTAGTCTAATTTATCAATATTTTTCCTTAAAAAGTAGTGCTTTTTCTATGTATATACATTTTTTGGGTTGTTTTTGTTTTTGTTTTTTTTCCCTGAGACAGAATCTCCTTCTGCCGCCCAGGCTGGAGTGCAGTGGCGCGATATCAGTTCACTGCAACCTCTGCCTCCCCGGCTCAAGTGATTCTCCTGCCTCTGTCTCCTGAGTAGTTGGGACTACAGGCGTGCACCACCATGCCCGGCTGTTTTGTATTTTTAGTAGAGATGGGGTTTCACCATGTTGTCTAGGCTGGTCTCGGAACTCCTGACCTCAAGCAATCTGCCTGCCTCCGCCTCCCGAAGTGCTGGGATTACAGGCATGAGACACTGCACCCAGCTGCTTTTTCTGTATTGTTAAACAAATCTTTTCCTATCCTTAAAGGTCATAAATACAACAAACTATATTATTATGTGGAAGCCTATCATAGTTAAAACTAACATCCACCTGGAATTAATGAAGTTAATACGAAGTTAAATATGGGTAAGGTTTTATTTGTTTCAACATGTGTATACAATTAAACCAGCACTTTTCTTGACCACTATAAGTCATCACCTTTGTAAGAAATCAAGTGTGCCTACAAAAGTGGATCTGTGTCTGATTTACTTTTCCTTAGAGGAGCACTATGCTATCCTAATTAAACTCGGTATCCAGTATAGCAAGTCTTCTCATTTTGTCTTACTCCTTAGGTGTGTCTGGCTATGCTTGATCCATGATACATCCATACAAAAATCAGAATCAGTTTGTCAATTTCTACCTAACATTATATATATATGTATTTCTTGGAATTTAATTTGTTTGCAGTAAATCTATAGATCTAGTGAGGGATCTTTCCAATAATGACTCTCTCATTACATGAACAAGGCGTATCCATTCATGTATAAAGGTCTTTATTTTACATCAATAATGAATTGGAGTTTCCTTACAATTATTATTAATATTTTTGGAAACAGGGTCTCTCA